AAAGCAAATTGTTATATCACGGTATCTTCTGACTATAGATAGTTTCGAAAGAACGCATTTAGAGAAAGATTTTTTTCCCCCATTTTATCGGAGAAAAATAATAACAGAAATACTGAACAAGGTAAATTTAAAATTAGAAAGTCCATAAAAACTAACATATTAACCTTTATCAACCAACAAAACGAATCAAAAACAACTGTCATATTCTTTATTTAGTACAGGAATTTTCCGAAGAAAATTATGGGATAAACTTGGTTGTATAGCTAGCTAACACTCCCACTTGTACATGTTGTATGAACCTGTTTGTAGTTCATTTATATTCAATTTGACAACATTGTGTGGGCAATCTTAACAGACATAATAGGTTAATGTGAAAATTATTGGGATCCAGTAGTCAAAACTGTGTAAACATACATCACAGACATTCAACACAACTGACAGATGTCAATTTACACAAATTATCTTATGAACTCTCTATTCCAACAAAGAAAAAAGAAAACTCCAATAGATGTACAAACAATACTTTGCAGTGGATAGATCCTTCAACAAAAATGCTCCAACACACTTATGAGGAAGAAATACTGAAATCGACACAAGGTGAACATCAATAATCGTTTGATCGATACTATATGTCTGTATCTTAACTCATGACCAACATACCGTCGCAATATGTGGGTCCTTAAATGCCGGATTAGTCGTATGTTCTGTGGTTTTGCCGGTTATGTCCAATTTCCAATTGTGACGTTTTGACGGAGTGATAATTCACATGACGAGTGATGCACACATAGCATTAGACCTTTACCCTATCGACGCACCCGGTCTATCACCATTTGGATTTCATGCGATTCCCTCAGTTTGTGTGTATCACCTTACTTTGTCTTTTAAACAATGTATGATATTTGAACATCGTTTAGGACTATTGTCTTTGTTTATCACGGAATCTAAGACTTTATACTAGTTATTGCTGAAAAGTATAATACATCGTATGAACGCATCGTCACATCTTTTGAGATTATTTAAGGGTTAAAAGCTGATTGATTAACTAATATTTTATTTGAAAACACTCTTATTTAGATATGAAATCAAGGTAATCTTAAAAATCACCTTTATTTGTAAGAAAATTGGAAGAGAGTCGAAAGATACCGAAAGGACATTCAAACCGATGATTCGAATTCAAACTGACAATGTCATGGCATATACCAAAAACGACTAAAAGACAAACCACAACAGTACACAAAACACAAAACACAACATAGAAATATGAAGACTGAGCAACACGAACCCCATTAAGAATCGGAGGTGATCCCAGGTGTTCTTAATCAGGGAGGTAGGCTTAAAATGCTGGAAGTCCTTTCTCATCCCTTCGTCTTCCGTTAAAACACGAATTAAACATTTCTTGACTATTGATATATACAAAAGAATATTTTCATTTTACGACGAAAGAAATAGTTGTCATTTCTTATCTGATACCTTGAAACAATAAAAGAAATAACGCAAGACTTTATCTTCTGAGCGTTTAAACGTTTTTCATTGTTTCCCGATTTCTAATGTGTTTATCTATCACGTTTACGTGCGATTGGCTCCTGCTGTCAACGTTCACCAAACGTTTACAGATTTCGCACATTCTTCCTAGAACACCGATCAGTATCGAGATGACTGTTTCGTCTTTAACATATGAAGCTAACACCTTAAAAAAACAATGAATGTCGCATTTGTTAAAGATAAGATTAAATTGTTTGTCAATAAGGCAAAATTGAAAAATTCTTTTGTATTTAAATAAAACACAGTTTTAACAAGAAAAACGATATCATATCAGTTTGCAAGTTTTGACGACTATCAACATGCATTGCGAATTGACAACAGAAAAATCAAATTATAAATTTAATTTAGAAGATTGTAAACAAATTATATGTTTACAATTTCTTTCTGCAAACCATTTCCTACTATAACAAACATCAAACCAAGCTGTATATAAATATTGAATCTACTATAAAGCATTTTCTTTTTACAAATAGGAGAAGGGAGCACTCGGGGGAATGACCACGGACAAATTGAATCTTTTTAAAAATTATGATTCATGACATTTTGAATACGGGTTTCTCGTTAAATAAAACCTGCTACAAATATAATGGAGATTTAAGACGTTGTAAGAGATATTTTTAGTTGACCTTAGATGAAATTGGCTATTTGTTTTATGTAATTTTGTCATATAGCTCTTTAACTGTTTCGGTACTTATACATCCCTTGGATTTCAAATATTTGACTTTGAGCGTTCCTGATGAAGGTAAATCCAGAAAAGCGCTTCGGACGCATGAAATTATTAAACGTGTTGTTTTCAATTTTTTACATCACTGGGTCGATACCTCTGCTGGTGGACTATCAGTCCCCGAGGGTATCATCAGCTCAGTAGTCAGTACTTCGGTACTGACATGATTTGTAACAAACCTTTCTAAAATTGTCCGTTTATAAATTTTGAAATTATAAAGAAACTAAGGTTTCAACTCACTCAGGCAAAGTTGACCTTAGATGGATTTGGCTATTTGTTTTAGGTATTTTTGTCATATAGCTCTTCAAATGTTTCGGTACTTATACATCCATCGGATTTCAAATGTTTGACTTTGAGCGTTCCTGATGAAGGTAAATCCAGAAAAGCGCTTCGGACGCATGAAATTATTAAACGTTAAAAATTAAAAAATTAGTTTAGTAACTAAGCGTCCATAATTCGAATACGCTATGGAGTTTGACGTATTGTTTCCTGCATTTTCACATCCTTTTTTTTCTTTTACCAAATTATAATTTATAATGAAAGCCTTATGTTATTGTTCATGATTTGTTTGTTTGAGAAAGAAAAGGGAAAGGAGTTCATTGTAGTTTATTTACGGATATGTAGGTTTTCATGCATGAAGTAATTTCTAGTATGATAATATATAAAATCAAAACATGGTGTCAACGTAGTGTGAATTTAGTAATTGAACACTAAATCTTATAAACCATTTTCCCGAAATTTCATCACTTCTTGATAACATATAATAGATCTATTTTCGTGTATATTAAAATGCAAAACTTTGAAGTTATATCACTATACTCTAAATGGATTAAGTGTGATGTTTATGTTTGTAAAGTGTGTATGAGGAGGATGTAACTTCATTTTTAAACATCACCAGTGTCTGAGCAGAAAGTTGATGAGCCAAGGTTATGTCAAATAACGTCTCGTCCTGTTTCTAAAAAGTTCATTGGAAGATACAAAGACCTTGTTGATAAATATTCCGTATCAACTTCACTAATAATACATGATGGTCTTGAAATATAGATTCTAGGTACTGACGTTGTTTATCATCCTAATTACGTGTTAAAGTTCCCCCCTTTTTTTTCTTTGTTTATTTTCAACCTTAACTATTTATCCAATGTTTGATTATATCCTTATGACGTGGATCGGAACTTATACATCCCGCCATTGTGCTATAGTCAATTTTGAGTTCTTGTTTTTAATTTTTGCTTATGTACTTTGTTTATATGTAATTTTGTGTTTCTTTGTTTAAACAGTTATTTGTTTTTATAGTGATTAAGATTATACTACAATGTTGACTGCTGTACCCAAATTTTTGACGTTTTTACCTATTATATCTGTTTGTTTTGCTCACAAATTGTTGTCAATATAATGGAATTGTATGCGACTGTCATACAAGTGAGAGGTTTAGCTAGCTATAAAACCAGGTTTAAACCATCATTTTCTACATAAGGAAATGCCTGTACCAAGTCAGAAGTATGAAAGTTGCTTTCTATTCGTTAGATGTGTTTGAGCTTTTGATTTTGCCATTTTATAAAGGACTTTCCGTTTTGAATTTCCCTTGGAGTTCGGTACTTTTGTTATTTTACTTTTTTTCAATATTGACGAATAAAAATAAAATACATTTTGTAAAACCGCCACATCCACCTCTTTATATGAGTTTGAATATTCTTTTGGTATCTTTTGTTTCTCTTCTAGAAACACAACAGGCTACAATTCATAATCTTTCGAGAAACGTGAGGACGAATATATTTGCAAATTGTGCAGTGGATCTGCGAGAAAGAAGTCGTTTAATTCGGTGGATTTATCGAAAGAAAAAATTTACAAATTCATCATATATAGAAATATATTTGAATTGTACAATTTGGAAGCTGTAACCTAATTTCAGAGAGTTTAATTTGCAGTTAATTAGTCATTCATTTTGATGCAAAACGTTAAATGGATAAAGACTGTCCAAAACATGGCTATAAATTAAGATAATAATGTTAAAATAGAATCAATTGATTTTCAATTTAGTTGTAATATTAACATCTATGTGACCTTAAATTTCTCATAATCCTAACTTATTAAGAGCCAATCTGCCAGAAAACCATGCAAAACCGTCCGAATGTCACTTTTTCCAAATGAGTTCATATTTGGCATATTGATGCACCTTAGTAATGTAAATAACCACACAAATTTTTTTGGGAAAATATTGAACCGATCTGGATATTTTTTGAGCGCCATGTTTTAACAGATGAAATTGCTCGAAAACAGCAAAAATAAGCCTTTTTTGGCATATTTCGCGGGTTTAAATAAAAAAATATGGTAACATTTATAATTTTTTGATAGTTGTTCCTAGTAATACATCACTTTAAGTGTAAGAATGCATAGAATTAACAATGCTGTCTATTAAGTGTATGTATAATCTAACTGTTTCAATATGTCTTATTTAGCTACATGTCCAAAATGGCTGATTTTGGTCATCTTTCAGAGCCAAAATACTCCAAGACCCGTTTATTATTGTAAAACAACATATCTACTTGCAAAGTATAACTATATATACCCAATCAAAAAAAATATCAAGCTCGGCAAATAATGTTGGTGTCTGGTATATGCCACAACAAAATGGGGTAACCTGCATATTCAAATTTTCTCAATTTTGCCGTCTAATTTGTAACTACTGACATATGATAGGATCTGGACTTATAAATAAGTATAACAACAAATGGAAAAGAATAATTAATGTTTCATTTAATACATTAAGAAAATAATCATACATAAATACAAATTATTCATTATAAATCTAAGAGGCTCCTAGGAGCCGAAACTGGGAGCCGAAATAGATCGTATTGACAAATTGTGCACCTAAAACGATAAAAAACACATATTTCAAACGCAATCAATTTAAATTAGAAGTTGAACAATTCAGAATAAGTTCATACTGTAAAAAAAAGTTTCTTCTGACCACTTTTGCAATTTATTCTTATAATATATTGATATAGTTGTCGGATAGTAGCAGAAAACTGTGAAAATTTGTAAATTTACACATTTCAGGGACAATAGCTCATAGATATTATGTCCAATTTTTCAGAAAAATTTTGGGTATTTAGATCTTGTCATGTTGATAGTTTTTATCAATATATATATATATATATATATTGAAAAGTTTTTAAATTTTGTATACATATATATATGTATGACACTTCTTCTAAAGTTATTAAGATGATGGTTTAAAAGTGAAAACTGTAAACAGATGATTTTAACAGACACTTAGTGATGGAATTTTTTTATGACCCTTTGAGCCTAGTATGCTAACAAGGCAAGATTTGCCAGGTACCTATATCTATGTTGCTGCAATGTGGTCAATACAAACATGAAAATCATAAATGCTTCTAAAAAAAAAATCCCATAACTAGACGAAAAACAAATTACTTAGTCTATATATACCAGTGCAAAATTTATAAAGAATTTTGAATGAAATTGGATAGCTGTTAAGATTACTGTACCTATAATGCTCTACATCACATCCTCGGAGATAACAGAATTAAAATAAGTCATATGAATCTTCAAATTTCAATAAAGTTGAATGTGTTTTTTTATACTTGAACGGCTATAGGTTTTACTATAAAACAAGTGTACATTAACTTTCTTGTAAAAGAAAAACCATAACATTAAAATCTCCATAAATGATGAACTGTTATTTTTTGAGACATCATCCCATGGAAGATTTAACTGATGTTTTAAAGTTGGAAAGTTTCTGTTGCTTGTTTGGTTGATTGAAATTGTTTCTTTTAGAAGCATTATCAGTCTCCCAATCTGATGTTGACTGCTGTGAAAGTTCAGTTGTTGTTGACACTGACAGAAAGGTTAGCTGCGAGTCTAGATCTGAAAACCAGAAAACATACATACATAAATCAGGCTGTTAATTTTCATATTTTTTCATTTTCTTATTTTGGGGCCTTTTATGGCTGAATATATATGCAGTATAGGTCTTGCTCATTGTTGAAGGCCATATGGCATATGAAGACCTATAGCTTTACTTCTATGTCATTTGTTCTCATTGGCAATCATACCACATTTTTTTTAATTTCATATATACCACTGACAGGAAATAAAATTGACAACGTTTACTGTAAGTGGACATGGTGGATGCAGTTACAAAATTCTCCCAACTAAAGCCAAATCATTTTTGCAGAATAGTTATTATCCACTCCTTTTAAGCATGTCCAAATAGCCCTTAACATCTTTACAACAATAAAAATTGCCTCCATTTGGTTTGGCATGTCAAATTACCTCTCAATATAATTTTACATTGAAAACAGACAATGGTGATAATTTGACCGCTTTTAGTGACAATCTTTGAAATCGTGGCCATCTTTATATCTGTTCTCTGTGTTAAAGTACAGCTAAATATCAATATTCTTTAAAATCAAACTCAACAAAATTGAAAATTTTACCCTTTATTTGCTGTGTCCATCTTTAAAAAAAAATTTCATTGTTTTGTTGGCATGTCAAAAGTGCTATAATTCCTTAATGTCAATTTTCATATAAGGCCATCTCGAAAATGTTTGCCATTTTGGAAGAAAAAACAACCTTACTTTGTTTAGCAAGTCAAACTACCACGACTATCCCTAATTAACAATTTTCATTAAATTAACCAGTGTTGAAATTTGTGCCATCCTTGGTGGCCATCTTGAAAATGTTTGACATCAGATAATCATCCACATATTGTGCTTTTCTTTTCACTAAAGTTTCATTTACAAAGATTACACCAGTTATCTCAGAAAAGGACAAATTTTGTGGAAGATGAAGAAAAAATTTGTAAGGGTTCCGCGGAACCCAGTGTCTCGCCTACTTTTGCTGTTAATCGCAGGCTCAACAAACATGAGGAAAAAAATTAATAAAAATATTCCTCTCTATACTATCTTTTGATTGTAAGTAGCTTCTGTCCAAGTTTGGTAAAAATCCAGGATAGTTTATGAATCTAATAAATGTTTTAAAAACTTAAAGTGCAGACTGTATGTAATGTTAACTGGAAGAAAAACTAAGTCCATTTATAAGTAAAATACGGAAAAAATGGATTTTTTTTTTACTTTTTTACAAAATTTACTTCTGGATACTATCTTTTGATCATAAACAAGCTTCTTTCCAAGTTTGGTAGAAATCCAGGATAGTTTAAGAAAGTTATTAAAATTTCAAAAACTTTAACCACAGAGTGAATATTTGTGGATGCCGCCGCCGACGGAATGTAGGATCGCTATGTCTCGCTTTTTCGACAAAAGTCGAAGGCTCGACAAAAATGCAAGTTTGGACAGAACATTCAAGCTATAACAGCTCTAAATTTGTAATGGGATTAAATATTTGACAAAGAATAGGTTTTTAACACAGAATAAATATGGTATAAAGATAAAGTTTAATAGATTCAGCATATCAGAGAACCCCAAGATCAAATTAAGATTTAAAATTTAGTTTAATTTTGGACCCTTTGGACCTCAATGTAAACCAATTTCATAATAGGGCCCAAAAACTAAATACAGGTTAGATTCAGGCTGAATCGGCATCTTTAAAATTATTGTTGAAATCAAACACAGTTAAATTATGGACCCCATTTGAACCAACTTGAAAACTGGGACCAAAATCATAAATCTAAGTACATATTTATATTCAGAATATTTGATTATTTCTATTTATCATTCAAAGAACCCTAATTCATTGTAATTAGAGTTCAAGTTTTGTTAAAATTAAACTAAGTTACAATTTGGACCCTTTGGACTTTAAAATGTGGACAAATTTGAAAACCGGACCAAAATTAAAAATCTAAATATAAAACATTTGCATTTTGTATATCAAAAGAACCTCAAGAATTCAAGTTGTGCAGAAATAAGAAAAAAAATTTTGGACCATTTTGAAATCAATGTGAACCAATTTAAAATGGGGCCCAATTGCAACATCTTAAATTATTTAAATACATTGTTAGATTTAGCATATTAAGAACCCAAATAATGTATTTATTTTAATTTGTTCTTGTCCTAAACATGCATGAACTATTTGCCATTGGACATTAGCATTACCAACAACCAATCAATTAATCGAACATGTGAAATATCTTCAAAAGTACCAATAAAAATCTCCCCCTTTTATATTTGAAAAAGTAAAATCACAAAAATACTGAACTTCGAGGAAAATTCAAAAAGGAAAGTCCCCAATCAAATGGCAAAATCAAAAGTTCAAACACATCAAACGAATGGATAACAACTGTCATATTCCTGACTTGGTACAGACATTTTCTTATGTAGAAAATGGTGGATTGAACCTGGTTTTATAGCTAGATAATAAACCTCTCATTTGTATGACAGTCGCATCAAATTCCATTATATTGACAACGATGCGTGAACAAAACAAACAGACACAATAGGTAAAATTGTCAAAAATAGGGGTACAGCAGTCAACATTGTGTTATCATCTTAATCACTATAAAAACAAACAAATGTGACGAAGAAGCACAAAAAGGCATACATCAAATTTAACATCCACATTTTGCTTATATTATACGATTTTATATATCTATGTAAAATCCACCCATAAAGGATGGAAGGTTTTAAGTACTGGCGTAAAATCGCGCGTTTGAAATTCGCACAGGTAGACATAAAATAATTTTGTCGTTCAAAGTATGACGGGATACATAAATACAGAGTCACGTAAAATGGATATCACAAAAAACAGACTTAACAGTAAAAGTAATACGTATTAATAAATAAAATAATTGAAATGGAGTGTATGAACAGTTCATTAGTCATTGTTAGTTATTGAATGGAAACTATAGGAGCCGCCCAATATAGTACTACAAATTAAAATTAGCAAAGTGATTTTTCAATGGGAAAACCAAGTTAACAAAGACCTGTTTAATAAAACTGATGTACAAATGTATAACATGTAATTGTATAATTATGTTATTATATAGGTGATTACATATACTTTGTATGATTACCATGTTATACAAACAGTTAAATTAATATATAAGTTAATAATAACTTACCAATATCTTCTTCTATACATGTATTTAGTTTGACCTGGCTATTGTCACTTTTACAAAAATTCGTCTTAATTGAGCATTGCTTGCATATATATACAAATGTAGCCCTACAAATAAAAAGTGTTAAACTATAAAATAATTCTTCAATTTTGTTTTACATGAAATAAAATACATCAGACAGGAAATGTAGGGTAGTGTAGCATCACTGTGCATGTAGTTTAAATGTATGTTTTTTCTTTTAAAAAGGGCTCTATAAGTATTCTACATACATGTACATGTAGGGTCCTAAAATTGAACTTTACAAAAGTTTGCAGTGCTTTTGATTTTTTTAGTCTCCATGGCCTATTAGTTCATTAAAAAAATATTATTCTCTGGATAAAGTTGTCTAGTGTTACATGTACAGTATGTTGTATGTAAAACATGTATTTGTAGGAGGCTTTTCCACGAGATAAAAGTTTTTTTAGTAGACAAAGAGCTGAACAACTTCCAGTAAGAACTGAAAATATAACTTAGGGGAAGAGAATAAAAACCTGACCTGCTAAACGTTGAATATGTTGAAATAGATTTTGATTATTATCATGATTCTGGTCTATAAATTGATTTTTTAAATCAGAAAATAAATATATATTGTACCCTGCTTAATAGCTTGAAAATTAAAATTCTTTCCTAAGCTGACAAGGACATAAATATTTTGACCATTCTAACCCTCCCCCTTGCTTTTTTAATCAAATGGTCCCAAGACAGAACAATGTATATACGAATATATATTATTTGCTTGCACTTTGCCATAGGAAATAAATAAGATGTCTTAGAAACAGGTCAGGTGTAAAAGAATATTCACATGCCCCTTCAACACCCACCCCCCTTTTTTTAATCTAGCTAATGTATCAATTGTTGGTCCCCTAATTTCAAATTGACTATATGGAACAAATGAAAATTGATTGTAAGATTTGTACCTGTTCCTACTGGAATAACTCGTCCTGTATACAGCCTGTTTTGAAAGGGTGAAGATCCATGGTCAGCTTTGGCTTTGCTGGAAGAGGGTTGGACGAGATGTTGACAATGAATTCCATAAAAGTCCCTGTACTTCGAGCATATTCAAAGACAAGATGATGTAACAACAATGGGAAAATAAACCACTCCTTGTCTTATATAAAATAAGGAGTCCTGTTGGAAATTCTACACCATAGTTTTCAGTATTATTCAGACTTCCTAAATGTAGATGAATGGTAGTCTGTATCTGTATGAATATCTTTGGTTACCAATACTGGTTTCAATACCACGGTAGAGAGAGTGTCGTTGATTTATTGATGGTGCGCCAGTGCAGTTTTGACAGTCTCAATTTCAATTTTGGTGCGAGCAAGGTGGTTCCACTCGCTCACTTTTTTTACGAAGAATGATTTAGAATACTTTTGTTTTGCTCGTTGAAATCTAAAAACACTTTTTGGTGTTCGTGGACTTATTTTTCCAATCAATATTTATCATGTTTATTTACTAAATTATTGTCATGATTGTCAAATTTCTTGGCAGTAATTATTTTTTTTGGAAATGCTATTTTGGTCTTTAGTGCATTCAGATATCTTAAATAGTTTGTAATATGTAGATGTATAAGGCTGGGATAGCCCACATGCTCATCCTAGATTATTAAAGTCACAAACTTCACTGTAAACATTTGTCTGCAAAACCATCACTGGGAGCTGACATGTTTGAGATCTTACCCAAGGGAGATAAGTCAATGGAAGAGCATAAAAGATGGACTCCCTGGTTTCAGACAATTTATTGATTTTTGGACTTGCAGTACAAATACGTCTTATTTCATTTTTCAGACAAATTGATTTTACTTGTTCGAATGATTTTATGAGCCATTTTAGTACCAATTGTGTTAAGAATTTTATTAAAATCAAAATCAAAATGTGTCAATTTGGGACTAAAATCACCATTCTTCCAAGGCATAAATTTACATATAATAGTCATTTGCCAAGCTTAATATTTTGTTTTGATATAAAACATACCCCATAGTTAAAACCGATATAAGTTGCAAACAAATCCGGAATGGGTCTTGCAAGATAGAAGCGAATGAAAACCACGTAAATTCATGTATGAAAAACCCCGCCTTTGTGTCCCTGCTCCTGGCAATGTGCCAAATCGTTTAAATTTTCATTTGTATTGATAATAACATAGTAAAATGGATGAGTTTCAGCTGACATTACTCTAAAAACTCAACTACCCCATTTAATATGCTTCTGGGTCATTCTTAAAAGGCATAAAAAAGTTGGATTTTTCCTTGGTTTCATTATGAATTTACAGAATTATGCAAATGAGGCTGTTACTATAAATAGATACGATTCTGGGAAAAATTAAGTGGTCAAATTCTTTTATTTTATGTCAAGGAATAAGATGATGTATAAAAATTTGTCAAGTTGTGATTGTCGATTTGGACGATTTTCTTAATATTGCATGGTTTTCTGGCGGATTGGCTCTTAATACTTATTATTTTTTCGTGTTTCTTAATCCCCTCTGTATTATTTACATGCATGCTCGTTATAAAATGTCATAATAAAACTTGGTTATCAATAGACGTACTGTTGCAATTATCTTGAGAGTTAAATACAATTTACAATGAAATGATAAACTGACAGAATATAATGGAAGTTTTTGTACCAAGAAAAAATATGACCGTTGAGTATTACAAAAACATCAACGAGGAATTGTTTATCATGATGCAAACATTTCCATTATCATACCATGTAAACCAGATTAAATGCTCATGAAGATAGATTAGAAACTCATTTTGTTTCGCAATGTGTTGATAAGATTGATTGGTATAAGAACAAATACTGCGCTTTTGAAACTCATCCTCTTTAACCGAACACTTTTCCATATGGCAGTTATCTCACCGTTAACTGTCAATGTTTCATGATATCGCGTATAACGTATCGCTTAAGTATTTTTGTACTTCTTTAGGAGGATCTGTTAACTTTTAGATCGAAGCGGTTATGAGATTTATTGACATTTTCAAACAGACAAAAAACATAATAACGGTTCAGATAACCTGACTAGGTATAGGTACAACAAATGTTTGGTGTTTAACACGTTTTACGCGCGAACACTTCCCCCTCTTCTTTTTTTTATCTATCTACCTATTTACATATGTCTTCTATGACTCGCGCTTTTGCTTTCAGTCTACATGTACTAATTGTAGCGTTGATACTTTTTTTTTTCTTAAAACTTTGGACATTACATAAAACTGTTCAGTGTCGGATTCGGGGGCTGTGTTGATCAAAAATTATTTATCATCACTTTACATGAGCAAAAATTCGACCCACCATTTTTCAAGGTAAACACCTAAAGCCACTTATTAAAAATTAACAAATATACTCTGAGGTGTACATATAAATAAGAGGATGTGGTATGAGTGCCAATGAGTCAACTACCCATCCAAGTCTCAATGTGTAAAAAGTAAACAATTATAGGTCAAAGTACGGCCTTCAACACGGAGCCTTGGCTCACACTGAACAGCAAGCTATAAAGGGCCCAAAAAGACTAGTGTAAAACAATTCAAACAGGAAAACCAACGGTCTAATCTATATAAAGAATGAGAAACGAGAAACACTTATGAACCACACAAACAAACGACAACCACTGAACAACAGGCTCCTGACTTAGAACAGGTGCATAAAATGCAGCGGGTTTAAACGTTTTAATAGGCGCCTACCTTCACCCTAACCTGAAACAGTTACAACATAAAAAGACACATCAATAAGCAATTTTCGTTATTTTGTTCTTGTTTTCGTTTGAATAGTCTGTTATTTCGTCCAAGCAGTCGGGCGTTGGTGGGTGATGAGATCTTTTTTGATGCCCGTTTTTATACTGTACAGTAGCATCCATCAAGGTTCCAACAATTTTAAGGAATTTCTACTGTTCTCTCAAGGGGATTAAAAGTCATGGTTCACACAACATGCACAATAGAGAAAAGATAAATTTGAATACAATTATGAAAATGGTCTATGGGAAGGATTATTTTAATATTGGAAATATTGATTTTTATAAATAAAACATCTAAAGAATAGAAGTTAAGGAGTGCAATGTACGAAAATATTCCAAAGTGAATATGTTGATTTTTATGTCATAAATGTGGACAGGGACTTTTGCTCTTTTTTAAATGAAGAATGGACTCTGTGATACTTTTACAGCAAACGCTCTATACAAACTGTATTCAATGAAGAACGATATTAAATTTATATGTATGAATACTTTTGATTATCCCGGTCTATGTATGAATTAAAATTGTATTTAATCTTCAAATTGAAATTCAACTTTACTGTTTTTGTTTAATTCATTCCCAATCACATAGCTTAAACGCCATCCAGAAAGAGTACCCAGATATGACTTGTAAGGTAAACCATTTTAATTGGCTCAACATAGGGGAGGGAATCCAGAGGTCACTCATTTGTACATCTGTTACATAAAATAAAAAAAGTAGGTACGTTATAGGTTCCTCCCTGAAAAATAGGACACAAATGGAGTTATGTAGAGATCGTTTATATCAAACATAAACGTGCTTCGGAAGGGTAAGCATATCCGATATAGTTATTTCAACTGTTTTTTTAAGATTTTATACCTTTTGCAATACTCTTAAATACATATATGTATGAACAAAATAGTACATGTATGCAATTTCATAACCCCTCTCCTCTAAAAAAAAGGAATCATAATCATAGACTTAAAAAATACATCAATTAAGAATTATTTTCTTAATATCTATACATACATTAATATTGTTTACAGATTGTATTGTTTTAAGACCCCTTGAATGCAGTTCAACCCAGCTTTATGCTGATACATTTTACGCACTAGCATATGCAAAAACCAATTAAGACGCTTAATTCTTTTAATTGTATATAAAAAAACGTAAAAACCAATTTGATCGGATAGGCAATCACCGGAAGAAAAAATAAATGCTTTGGTGCTTTTAAGAAATGATAAAAAGTAAAATAAGAAAACTACCGAACTCCAAGAAAAATTAAAACGGAAAGTCCCTAGTCAGTTTTAGAATATGATATGTAGGTATATCATTATGACAACTCAAACGTAAAAGTTAATTGTATTCATTTAATTCATATTTCAAATTTTTTTATCTATATTGTATAATCGAACTTTTAAAATTATGGCAGTTATTAATATGTTTGGGGTATTTTTTTCTTATTTAATAGAAAAGGACACGATTATTCACTTTAATAAAATTACAATAAACAAATAAGCAACGCATATCTCGTGGTAATCAGTGCCAGTATCTCAACATCTATTACTGGTTGATTTGTATCAAAGTCGACAAAAATATAAATGTCAACAGAAAAAAATATAATTGTCTAAGTAATAAATCCTTATTAAAAACGCAATTAAAACTCGGTCATAACTATGTTGATCGCCAAATTGCATGATTATTATTTTGGGAAACAGTTATAGCGGCTTAACATGGACTTTTATTTTCTTTATATAAAAATAAGATGATGCGGTATGATTGCAAAGGAGACAACTCAACACCAGAGAGCAATGCCATAGAAAATATCAACTATACGTCATCGTATGGCCTTCAACAATGATCAAAACCCATACTACACAGCAAACTGTAAAAGGCCTCGAAATGACAATTGCAAATTAATTCAAATAAGAAAACCAACGGACTTGATTTTGCCTAATAATAAAATGAATTAATAACAAATCTAAGTTTACATAAAAGAAATAAATGAAATGAAATGAATAAATAGATGAATAAAGTAATGAATAAAGCTTTACATTAAATACTTTTTGTGTAAAGGATATATTCATATACTTGTAATACGTATTTTAGTATTTCAGTGTCCAAATCACATGTTTCAGCTTGGAAAAACTTCAACATGTACTCTATCGACTTGGTCTGTCTACTTTTTTATTTGAGTGCTTTTGGCGTAAATCGCGTTTTTTGCGCCTTGCTTGGATCGGGGGCGATCTGCTAACCATTCTTGGGCACATAAGATCAACCCATGTTTTGGTGGGGTTCTAGTTGCACAGTGTTAGTTTTTTTTTTTGCTGTATTTTGTATACTTTTGTATGATTTTTTTTTTTTTTTTTATTGTTGCTATTTTTGTGCTTGCCATAGCTTTGTCCGTTTGTCATCAATTTACGAGATTGAATATCTCTTTGGTTTCTACCGCCTCTCTTTTATACATTTGTAATTTATTATAAGCCTAGTATCTCTGGCCACTTTATGTTGTCATGATAATTAAGAAATTGTTTAACTGAATATTCGCCAGTTATATTAATATTGGGCAAAGAAAGAACCTTGGTTCATGTGATTTGTTTGACTTGTTAATAATACATCCTTATTTTATTCAGGGTTAGTTTAAAAGGTTAAGGAGCATTCAACCAAACTGCTGGACTGATACAACATGACGAACTCTACAGTGTCACATAACATGTCTCAAGAAGTTGTGGAAGAGCTTACACTTAAAATCCAAGGTGAATTTCAACACATTGTTAGTTTTATTATGTCTATTTTTTACGGAATGAGTGTTCTAGTTGAATGTTTTTGGAAACATGTTGGTGATAATTGCTCTTTGTTCACAAAGGCAGCAGCGGAATACAACAGACATATTAATTGTTAACTTTTCCGTTTTGGATTTTTTATTTATTATTGTTTATCTTCTTTTCATGGCTACAACACATGGGATGGCAGCTGGATATGTGGCGACATAGGGTGCAAACTATCATACTATCTTGTATATCTTTCCGTACTGATTAGCGTTTACACCCTAGTTATCATGTCTCTAGACCGTTATCTAGCAATAGTTCACCCAATTACATCAAAGATATTTCAAACTAGCCAGAATGTTAACCTACTCGTTTTTATCGCATGGCTTGTTATATCTGTTTCTTGTCCTCCGATAATTTTTGAAATATATGAATTTTCTTTCACTACAGAACGATCAGATTACAGAATTTCTTTGACTTTTGGCAGAACATTGGTGGCTTGTTTTCTTGTTGTTGAATATGTGCTACCATTATTATTGATATGTGTCTTCTATGGTGTAATGCTTAAAACACTTTTGAACGAAGCTGTAACTGTCAGTAATCGAAGAGCTACAAGTATGAAACCAATGAAGAGAGTAGCAAAGAGGGTATTCATTGTAATACTTGTATTTGCTGTTTGTTTGTTGCCGCATCACATCATCAATGTGTTTACAGTTTTTGAAGATTTATATAACAACCCTTTTATTTGTTTAGTATTTCAAAAACTTCAGAGTTCTTAGCGTATGTCAACAGATGCATAAATCCTATTTTGTATACCTTTATCTCAACAAAATACAGACAAAGTCTCCGAAAACTTTTGTGCTGTAAACGTCTACGACAGAATAACTTCAACAGTTAAATACTGCAAAGTATTTTATATGGAGCGAACGGTAAGTAACGTAAAACAGATGTTAAGAGACGACAGAGTCACGTAACAACTATTAATAATAGTACACAGAAAGCATAACTATTAATGTAAAACCGAATGCACCATGGTTTTTGCTAATTTAAAATTAAATTCGCGGCATAATATTGTATATGCATAGAATTAAAAAAACTTCACGTGCTTTTACATGTATAATTATGGTGAAATGTTTGATGTACAATAGGTTTCAGTAAATGACATTGAATGCATTTTCTAAAACAATTACCGTCTTTTGTTTCGGTATAAATGTGGTTTAGTTGACTTTTGAAAAACCGATATCCCATTGGAATGAAATCTGGTATTCCGTTTCGAAAGAATGTCACGCTCTCTGTAGAAGAACCTTTGCAACAACTCTTTGAGGAGTCCAGAGATTAGATAGCCTCTTACAAGGCCTAATGTATATCCTTGCAGAATTCCCTCTTTACCAGTTACAGTCCATATTTGCCACAACTCTCCCACTTTTTTCATGTTGTTGTACCTACGTACTTTTCATGCACTTTTGAATTTGATTTCGCCTTGTACAGGCATGAATGTTTGTTACAGAACACACATTAAGTAAGCAATAATCAATCACATGATTTATTTTCTATCAACTAGTTTAAAATTCAATACCAAGAACATTCCCATAAATCAAAAAAGATGTGTGGTTTACGTGTAATACTATACTGCGATAATAACTAGCAAAAACATTTCAAATCTTAACAGCTTGTGAAAATTTTATAAGACTAAACAATATGCATGTAGGCTTAATTTCCTGGTTATTTCATGTACTTGAAACTATTTAGTTTAATCTGTACACTGTAATTTATAGTATTTGCCTCTGTTTTGCTTTCGTATATAACTTTTGTACGTCTGTATTTATTGTGTGTATCTATATACCAATCTCAAATACCAATGTAATTGTGTTTATTGAGAAATAAAGATAGTATAGGTTTTACCTATAACTTATTGATTGATTGGTTGCTGTTTAACGCCACTTTCAGCACTATTCTGCTATTTGGTGGATGGAGCCGGATTGCCCAGAGGAGAACCACCGACCTTCGGTAGGAAAACTGACAATCCTAATCAATTACGATTGGAGTCGAGCACACTTGTCAAATGCGGGTTTCGAACTCACAACCTTAGTTTTGATCGGCTAGTGATTTTATTCAAATATGTACAATAAAAAATCACATGACAGTACCTGTTGTCACAAACAAACAGTTACATGTAGTTCGAGTACTTAGACCACTCGGCCACCTATGATCCTTTAACTATAATGTATAGACTGAAAGCATATGTCGATGAGAGAGTGATATACAACCTCGATCAGCTAAACAAAATAAACACATTTGATAGACATCTACAATTTCTTAATCTTGTGATCATTTAAAATAATTGTCTTAGTTGATAGTTGTCTCATTGGCACTGCTACAACATTTCTTATGTTTGTAAGGAAACATTGGCCTGAGACTGTTGTATTCACTCGTGTGGTTTTATTTCTACTAATTGACAACTAATACGAAAAGAGATATTTATACTTCAACATACGGCCTAAAACAATGTAATCAATGAAAATAAGCTTTTGTCAAGCTCAGAATGAATGATGCTACCGACCCGAAATTAGAAGATTTTATCAAAAATATAGCTACAAAATATGTTCTTACAACACCAAAGAAAAGCCATTAAACTTATCCCCGAGTTCCACGCTTAGTGATCTGTGACTGATATACATACAACAATCCATTATAGCATAGGTCTGGGAAGCCTTCAAAGACTACTATAGAATAGAAAACCCTTTTGGCGTGAGATCAATCGATCCATTTCTAATCAAATGCATCAAATTTAACCCATGAAAAGTTTATTAACAATACATCTATCCTTTGTATGTCCCTCTCATGAAAATGTCATACACAGCATGTTGATGTGGTTAAAAAGGAGTTGTCTGATGTATGATTGTGAATCAGCAACCCAATGGCCAGAAGAAATCAAGTAATTTTGTCTAATCGAGTCTACAACTCAGTTTCTGTTGAATTGTAAATAATATGACATCATTTTCTTAGTTAGTTGGCTCACTAGCTCCAACTTTAGACTAAAACTAGGTACAAACATTCCTACTGAAGTGCAAATAATTTACACGTGAAATTATTATTCACTAGTTTCACAGAGTTGCATAATATCTGAACATTTGTATTATGTATAAGTGTATATTTTTTGTATTTGCTATAATATTAAAAAGTTTTTCTCCTTTTGTCTATTACGTAATACTTCATGTATTATAGTTCCATATCATTTTCACATTGTATGTTATGTTTCCTTGGTATTTTTCGCCTCACTTTTATTTACAGCTTGTTAATATACTATATGATAATAAAATTCATGTCTTTTTCAGGACCTCTGATCCAACCATGTAGTATGGCATGTTTGTGAGATATGGTTTTGGTGGATAGGATGTTCATGAAGGACCTGTAGTACAAAGTATATCACTGGATTGAGCTCTTTGTCTAAGTGTATTATTAAAGTGCTTTGCTTTGAGCTCAGTTCATTGTTATGCAATTCATTCTTTTTGAAATAAAGATTTGACAGACAACTCTCATGTACAAGGATTTGTCAGGGTAGTATCCATTCTATGTACAATGTAAGTAATAAGGAGATAAAAGCATTTTATTATGATTTGAACCAAACTTTTTTTGTCCATTAACCAAATTTAAAAAAAAAGAACAAATTTTCCCGACAATGCTACACTCACTACTAGCAATATGATGCTAGGTTGTTTTAATACATCTGTACTGCCTACTGATGACTCGGTCCTGAGTGTAAATGGTCATTCAGTATGTTAAAAAAAGGGGCAAAATTTATATGGCCTATCTGGCCTAATTGATTTCTAAAACTATATTTCATTGTACATGTTCAACATTTTTCATTCATTTGTTTATTTCTTAATTTGTGTGAATTAACATTGTTACAGTAAATGTAACACAGTTAATTACTACACTTTCATACCACAACAAATACTGTATTGGTATCATTTATATTTGTATCCATATAACAAAAAAAATTGAAAAGAGAATAATTTTGCAATACCTTTTTCATATTGAATACTATAACTTTTTTAATATTTAGACATATTAAGTAGATTTTCATAATACCCACTTGACATGCTTCAAATTCTATCAGATTACTATTGGAGCAGATATGAGTCTTTGAAGCATGCTCACAAAGGTTTTTTTGTTGATATCATTTTCATATTGGTCAAAACTTTTTTTTGCTTCGGCCAGCTTTGGAGGAGATGTTATCAAAGAATTGATAAAAAACAACACAGAAGTTTACTTTCTAGCTCTTCTAGCCCCAAGCATCATGTCAGGCATTGTCATTACTAAAAACCAATAAATGTCTTCTAATCTGAGAAACAATTTCGACATTTTAACAAAATATTTTACTAATGGTACTTACAATCCACCACAAAGTAATATAAATAGAACCATACAAATAGTGAGCAAATACATATAAAAAAGATGTGGTATGATTGCCACTGAGACAATTCTCCACAACAGACCAAAATGACACAGAAATTAACAACTACGGGTCACCGTACAGCCTTCAACAATGAGCAAAGCCCATAACACATAGTCATTTATGTTATTTATGTACACAAACTAAACGAAATACAAATATCATGTAACACATAGACAAACGACAACCACTGAATTACAGCCTCCTGATATCATGTTCTCAGATATCATCTCCCATTTAAAAAAAAAATCACATGAAAAAAATGAACCTATTATGTGTTGCTCTCCTAGCTACAAAATGTATCCAAAATCAAAGATGTGGAAAATATTCTATCATAATCATTTGGTAATTAATGCAATCAGTGTCTCTTCCATGCCCGTCTTGAACATAAAATCTAAATATTAAATAAACAACACTCCTCATGCTCAGGTTGGTTGTCATCGTGCAACACAGTTAATAACAACATATAGGAAAAACATAGAACTCCTTTTGTCATATAAAACACTGTCAAACATCCAAACATACTATCCACATTCATCTGTGTCCACACTTGTTGTTTATAAAAATAATAATTGTCCTCCTTTTGACATTGTACAGTGGTAGCACTGTAATTCTTTGGTTTTAAGAAGTGTTGTAAACTTTTATACAATTTCCATATTATTGAGATTTTTTTTTTAATTGACATATTTTTACAATAAGACAGAAATAGTAATCAGTTTACAATAGACGGTTAATGAATTCATTTTCCTTTTACTTTTCGAAAAAAATTCGATTTGCACAATGTGAATAAAAATACATGTATCTTGCATGTTTGTACACCAATCACAACTCTAAACAGATATCAATTTCAAAAAATTGCGAGTGTATATATCAAATATGACTTATGAGTTTGATACTAATTGATTAATTTATGGAATGTTGTTTGCTTATCCTACAGCGGCAAATATTTCGTGATGTTCCGTACAACAACAAATTAACAATTAATGAAACATGTAGATTCTGTAAAGTGGGTCGATTGGCTTGGTATCAGATGTTATACCTTTTTGTAAATTTAGGACACTGACTTAATCACAATTTCCAATCGAAATAGATCGATGGACAAAATCACAGAGAAAATGTACACTTTGCGACAGGTCAGAGATAGGAGACTAATACTATTTCTATAGATTAGAATGCCCTGCACTGGAAAACAAAAGGAAATTGAACTTAACCCTATATTTATTATGGCACTCAAATGTATTAAAACTTAAGAAACTTTTTAACACAAAGAAAATGTCTCTTCTACAACGCCTGTGTAAACTAAAAAAAATAATCATCAACGTGAACATCGGCTAGACCACATTACAATGTTGTTTTCATGTTTTATCTCCTTATACACCAATTGTAGCTCACCTCTACTATACTATGTATCATTTGTTTTTTTTTTTTTTAAATAACGTATT